TAAATGCTCAAAATGGTAAATTAACAATATTATGCTCAGCTGTTTTGAAATGCCAGCCTAGGGGGATGCCAGTCTCTGGGGATGACCCTCTAGCAGCCACAGTTGAACTTGATTTGGATTTGATCTAAGGCACTCTCTTGATACAGAGTAGAACTAAGACCCCCAACATACAGGTACCCCAATACTGAACCCACCCTTTAAATTGCATGCTTCCATGAAATATATTTTAATATAATTTGTTTAGAACTGGAGGTTGAAGGGTGTTGCTTTCTATAAAAATAACAAGTAATCATTTATTAAGGTGTGACTGTTATGATTTTAGGACATGAGAACATAGCCACAAAATTCATCCGAACACCAGTTTGAAGATGGATCTGTCAGGTGAAAGTCCACCATATCATTTCATTGATGGAAGTAGTTTCCACTGATGAGGCAGAGGAGGTGGAAATCCTACTGATTCCTATAGCCCTCAAGTCCCTTCCAAGCCTTGGAGGAAGCTCCAGATCAGCTTTTGAGGCCAAAAAAAGGTTTGCAGGGAGAGGAAAGATGCCGAGTTTAATGCATTTTTTCAGCTGGGCTCAATATTACATTACATTATTATATTCAGATTTGTAATACAAGAGCAGCCCTTACAACTGCGATAAAATTGTTGGCTGCCTGTTATATCACTGGGCTTCTCATTTTAAGTCCTACTTGCTTTCCTCTTTTGTGTGTGTGTGTGTGTGTGTGTGTGTGTGTTGGGGGGAACCTGTGTGTGTGTTAAGTATATATTTTTTTTCAAGGCTACTTCTTCGGACCGTGGAAACATTTCCTGTTAATATTTCCATACTACATCCAAGCAGAGCTTTTAAATGTAGCAGAAAGTGAAACATATAGAGTTTCTGTTTCCTTATTGCCATTTTTTTAAAATGCCAGTGGGGTTTTGTTTCTGCATTTTAATAATACTGTATTTTGCAGTAAAGGGAAACACATTCAATTCAAGTCTTGACTTTCACTTTTTACATAAACACAATATATTCAAAACATGTATGATT